TTAGTTTTCTATACTTCAAAGCAAGGTATTTAGAATGATGGACAATTTTTCTTCAAAATTCGTTTTAAAAGTTATTACATACCTCTTCATTTCTCCAGCGACTGAACATGTATGTATAAGAACCAGGGTATCCTACAAATTTCCCTTTGAAAAAAGCTACATAGAAGCATGAAGAGTAGTAGTTGACAAACTGAAAGAGGAACATCTTCATAGTAAGTCTGTTTTCATATTCATAGTGGGTTCTTGGTATTTCTGCAAGATAAAATAAACAAGGATTTAATTCTCTTTATATCATGTAGAGCAGACATGTCAAACTCGCGACGTCATATGATGTCGCACAACGTATCAGGATGGTTTTGCCCTTGCTGGCAATGGGGTGGGCATGGCTTCTGCATGACACATCTGACCTGCAGGCCAGCAATCTGACACCCCTGAAATAGAGTATTAATGTTTATGAAGCCTCTGGAATATGACAATAGGCTTCAATATTGCAAAGTTTATTTCTCTAAGAGAGCATTTGTAGAGCTATGAATCTACTTAGAGTCACCATGTATGAGTTGGGTGGCCATATACATTTGCTTAATAAATAGAATAAATTATCTTTTGCCCACAGAGTGTAACGTGTACAGAACAAGGAAACAAAGTTGATGTCATTCCTAGGTGATTTAACTAACATAGAATCAATTTGTGGAAGTAAATAGTTGTATCCTATTTCTTTTATGCACAATATAAATATAAACAAAGCTCTCATTAATTCAAGCAAAATAATATTTGAGACACATTTCATGAAGAACTTCCTTGCCTTTTGTCAAGAGACAGATATTGTAATCATGAGAAAACAGAAGCAATTTTGCCCAAGTAACCTCCTGAGAGCTCCATTTGCAGTCAGATAAAATCATTATTACCACTGTTGACCCCATAGCTCTTAGGAAGGTACAAGCTAAGAATTAGCAATCATACAGCTGGAATGCAAGTCAGATCATCTAAAAGCAAAGAAGCCATAAGAGATAAAGTAGACTTCCTCAAACTGCCATTCTCCAGATAAATTGGATTATGAATTCCATCATTCTCTGAAAGCAAGGCTAATAGAGGACCCCAGGCTGGGGATAGCTGACATAAAGCAAGAACCCCAAAGACTTTTAGGCTGACAGAAAAAGTTCTGCAAGTTCTATTTTCATGTGCTGATGATTTCAGCCTATGTAGCAGAGGGGCAGAAAATGTACAGAGGGTGTAAGCTTAGTCATCATGCAACATACTTACCCATATCTGTGATCCAGATGGCTATCCTCTCATATAGGAAATTCAGTATCATAATGATGATAAAATTGAGGAATGATGCTGTGACTGACGTTGCCAGTTGTGGTGTCAACAAACCTCGAATGGGTTGCAGCGTTTCTGTGTTCTCCATAATGCTGGCAAAAGCAGCATAGACTGCAAGGCGGTAAACTATCACAGCTATCATGCTTGCTATGATTAAAGAGATCTGAGATAATCACATAAATTAGACTACTTAGGATTTGAAACCAAAGAAATTAATGTTTCATGCAAACTGCACATTGTGAATAAAATTTTAGAAACTTCTATCAAGACTGCAGAATATAAGTAGAAGAAAACTTTATCTGAATATTTTTCCAGTGCATATTCCACAATGGAAGTAGATCACTTGTTTTTTCTTTTAGTTTTAAGTTAAAAAAAAATCTTTGTTATTTTCTCCTTTCTATTCAGAGGAGAATTAAGCATGCAGTTCTTCATCTTTGTGCTAAGGACCTATAGTCCCAGTGGATCTGTAATATTTGTTTTTTAATTAATTTTAAACGTGTCACGCACATTCATGTAAAGCATCCCAGTGCAATTGTATCACATAATCCATATAATATTATGTAGCTATAGTAGCAACATAAGTAGCAAGGTAAATAATTACACAATATTTAAAACTGGATAGGAGGAGAAACTTAAGCCATATATTATGTATTCATTGTGTACTTTGCATGACAACAGGAAAATAAAACTGGAAAATGTTAGTTAAAGATTCTGGAAGCAACAAGCATGAGTGAAAGAGATCCAGAAGCATCTTAAAAATTCAAGCTTAAAAGTGATCAGTGCCGTGTTAGAGGGATGAATCAAAAAGAGCTCACCCAGAACAACACTGTAGTTCCTGAGATGCAGAACCGTACAGCCTGGCTAGTTAGAGGTAAATAAGGCTCCAGTTCCTGAAACAGTCAAGCAAGCACAGCATTTTTCACCACCCGCAGTCACAGTTGTATGTAGACCACTGCAGAAAGCAACCTCAAACATTATGAGAAAGCAAATCATGTATCCCCTCCCTCACAAATGCGTAAAATGGCACATTTCCTCTTTTGGGAGAAAAGCAGGAGTGGAACACTGAATGAGATGTTGCTTATTTACCAAGTCATCCTATTATTTATTTATGGCTTTACAATCACTTTATGAACAAAACGTTGCTACTTGAAAGTTGAGAGCAGATTTCTTTTCAATTGTCAATATTAATTGTTCAGCAAATTGTTCAGTAGATACTCCCATTCATCACTCCATATTCTGATGCTTTTTGTTGTCCCACTTGAAGAAATGGCTTGTTTTATTAGTTTTGCCACTCTAAGCTGCAGCAATTGTGCAGCCCTCTCTTACCCAAAAAAATATTCCACAGTACAACAAGCTCAGTTTTCCATAGTCATGAATGCTCTTCCTCTTAAACAGTTCTAACTCCTAAAACATCAGTCAAAAAAGGAATAATTAAAGAATGAAAATCAATTGATTTTTAACGGGATTTTGGATTGATTAAAATAATCATGGCTTGGTTTGCAAAGAAATGCACAAACCTCTCGCCTGTGTACTGTACATAATCCTTCAAATATTTTATTTCTGGAAGGGAAGGATTCCAAAGAGTGGATGAAAAGGTCAATTCTGTATGCAGTTATCATGTTTGCTCACATAGATCCAATGTGTTCACATACACAAATAACAGAAGCATATATCTTTCATTTCCCAAATAGGTCTTCATCACTGGCAAATTATAAACAGTTTTAATTAGCAGAACTATAAATACATAATGTCAAAATATCTTAACTGCCTTTCCAGGTAGATACAGTGCTATCTGTCCCTTCAGCCACTTGGGCTTTCAGAGACAATGACAATTCTATGAAAAGAGAGGGAGAAGGAAAGGGAGGGAGAGAGAGAGAGAGAGAGAGAGAAAGAGAGAAAGAGAGAAAGAAAGAGAGACACTCACACAGATAGACACAGAGAGAGAGACAGAGAGAGACACACACACACACACAGAGACGGAGAGACAGAGGAAGACACACACAGAGAGAGAGAGAGACAGAGAGACACAGAGAGAGGCACACAGAGAGACACAGACAGCTAGAGACAGAGACAGAGAGAGACAGAGAGACACAGAGATAGAAAGAGAGAGACACACAGAGAGAGAGAGAGACAGAGAGAGAGATAGGGACACACAGAGACAGAGACACACACAGAAAGAGACAGAGAGACAGAGATAGAGAGACAGAGAGATACAGAGAGAGAGACAGAGACACAGAGAGAGAGTGACACAGAGAGAGAGACACACACAGAGAAAGAGACAGAGATAGAGGGAGACAGAGAAAGAGAGACAGACAGAGAGAGAGAGAGACAGAGAGAGAGAGAGACAGACACACACAGAGAGAATCAGAGAGAGAGAGAGAGAGAGACAGACAGACAGAGACAGAGACGGGTAAGATTCTGTGGGATTGTCTTAGAGACCAGCAAGTATTGCCCAATCAAGCAAATATTATGATATAGGCAAGGGCCAGAAGACAGAGATGGGATAGATTTAGCAGTGCTAAGTGACAGCAACCTCAGGAAGAAAGAGTATGAAAAGCTAGAGAAGTACCAGGCCTGAAGGAAGAATTAAGATGTGAAAAATAAAGATGAAAGTGATCCAGTGGTAGTAGAGCAACTACTGGGACTATGACCCTTGCAATAGATCCTAGAATGTATATGCTTCTCTGTCCAGAAAAGCGCAGTGTTAGAACAGCTAAAATACTGTGCAGAACTCTCACATTCCCAGGCCTCTAGTAGAGGACCTCAGACTGAGGAAGACGCGTATCATCCATAGGGGTGAAAAGGGAATTTTATAAATAATGGATCAGGATGCAGCCACAGAACTCCAAATTTACCAGGATTGTTTTTATTTCCTGACTGAGCAGAAAAAATATATATGAAAGAATAGGATTTTTTGGGGGGGAGGGAGAACCTAACTGGGCAGGAATATTTGTGAAAAGGATCTATATTCTTGCTCACACAAAGTTAAACATGAGCAAACAATGTTATGTAACTATTAAAAATGGCAAATGCTACCTTGGGGTGGACACTATTTTGAAGAGGTTATTGTTATTGTTCCACTATTCTCTGCCCTGGTTGCAATATTGGGTCCAATCCTGGACATCACACAACAAGCTGAATAAAGTTCAAGACAGGGCTTCCAAGATGGCAAGCATCTTGAAAAATAAGGCTTTTGAAAAGCAGTTTAAAAAACACTGTTTCACCGAAAGCAAGTGGAGTTCTATATTTCACCCCGAGAGCAGAACCAGAACAATGGGTTAACATTGTACGAAAGTAGGTTCAGAATAGATGTAAAGAGGACTTCCTATTGTGGAGGAAGTCTCAAATGAAATAATGAGTATTTTCTTATTGGATGTCTTCAGAGAAATAAAAGAACTGAGAAACAGACCTAGATAGCTAAAATAATAATGCATTTATTTCAGCCAGAATTGAACACCACAAGCCAACTGCATCCACTTAACCATGATCTACAGAGATTGAAAATGAATATTCAGCTTCTTAGCTGGCAAAAATATACCTATGCTTTTGGACTGTATCAATAATATCCATCACACAAAAGTGGAAAAAGCAGCGCTCCAAATATCCCAAATTAGGTGGTGCCAATGATACCCCTATAGCAGAATTTCTTTAGATTTAGAAAGCTAGCAAGTCAGGGGAAACATTAACTAGAAACTTTATTCCTAATATTATAAACTTTATTCCTAATATTATATCTCCCCAAATGAAGGCTTTACTTTATAGCAGTAAAGTAGTATGAAAATGAGAACTAAATCTTCATATTTCTTTCTGAATAGCTGAACCAATTTCAAGATCACAGTAAATTAGATAAACATGTTAATGCATATTCCTAGTAAAATGCTATTTGATCACCTATGGGAAATCCAGGTACCCCATTATCAGAGTTTCAGACAATAACCTAACTGCTGATGTTTAAAATGAACTTGCATTTTAATAACTATATAATTGTAAAACCTGTCAAAGCACTACATGTCTATCATATCCTGGAACAAATGTGTATTCTTAGCTGGCATATTAAACTGAACTACTGTGTTTCCACGAAAATAAGAATGGGGCTTTTTTTTTCCTTTTGCCTTCAAAAGAGGCACCGGGTCTTATTTTCAGAGTAAGCCTTACCTCACCTCCAGCACTGACAGCCCCACCCAGCGGTCCACTTCTTCTGGGGTCGAAGTTCTGCAGCTGCATTCGGGCCTGCATAGAAAGCCTAAGCAGCTGAGTACCGAGCTATGGATTCAATCCATAGCTTGGTGCTCGGCTGCCGAGGTCTTGCAGAACCAGTTCTTAGCTGCACAGTTCTTCCGGAAAGCCCCGTGGCTGAGAAATGCAGGCCTGGCTGCAGAAGTGGGCTGGCAAAGAGAGGCCTGGCTGCAAGGTAAGTGGGTGTGGGGTGGGTGGCGCAATTCCACACCCCCACCCTAGCTTGATTTTTAGGTGTGTGCCTCACCCCCCAAACAAGGGCTTATTTTTGGGATACAGCTTATATTAGGCCCACCCCCAAAAATCAAGCTAGGGCTTATTGTTGGTGTAGGCCTTACTTTTGGGCAAACGCGGTTGCATAGTAGGTCTTGAGAGCATGCTCACCTAAGGGTTCTCCAAAAAAAGCTACCTAAATCTTATTAATTCTACAACCTGCAAATTATTTTTTATCTTCTAAGTAAGCAAAACAAAATTACCTGAGTTACTGGATTCTTCCTCTTTTGAGTACATTTTGCTTCATACTCTGGTCTAAGTTGGAGTTGTTGCTGTTCTTCCTCAAAATCAACCAAATCCCACTCATATTCAAGTCGAGCTTGTCTTCGCTTCCAAAATTCCAAGAAAAGTGTAACTACAATTCAGAGAGGGTTAGGCAACATAGAATTAGCTAAACATATTTTGGGATAGCATAAAACCATAATGTGAAGTAGTATCTACTATTTTAGTAACATAGTAACAGAACAACAGAGTTGGAAGGGATCTTGGAGGTCATCTAGTCCAACCCCCTTGTCAAGCAGGAGACCCTATACTATTCTGGACAAAAGGCTGTCCAAACTATTCTTAAAACCTCCAGTGATGGAGTACCCACAACTTCTGGAGGCAAGCCAGAAGTAATAATTACTTATACAAACATTTATTTACAAAAAAGTTTGTTAATTATCTTATAGAAATGATTGTTTTTTTATTATAAATGTTGATATTGTTATATCAACAGGATCTCAGCTGGTCAGGATTAACCAGTTGCATTAAAGCACAACTAAAATCTTACTCATCTAATTCACTGAATTTTGGTTAATAAATATATTTAGGGAAAGACTGATATTATAGATGTTCAGCATAAAGGGAAGAATACCATGCCTGAAACTTTGTCCCTATCAGTCAACTGACAACAATGGTTTAATTCAATTTTCCAGTTTTCTTTCAGATCAATAATGTTTAAAATTTGTCACAGTAGTACAACAAAGCTTTGTATCCTGAACAGCTTTTCTATAAATGGAATGGAGTCTGATTAAGCACAGATTATTTACATATCTCTTATTTATTTTGTGGAATTTCTGTAACACCATTTAAATGTGAGAAGTATACAAATCAAAACATAAAATCATCTCTGAATAAATAACTCCCAACTCCTTAAAATTAATTCTGAAAACATTAACAATAAAACAAGTGTACTTACCCCAGATGCCCATAAATATTGCAAAAAAGAGGGTTGCCACATTGTCAAACAAATGGGAATACTAGAATTGAAAAACAGGCATTGTACATTAGAATAATACATGAAAGTATGTATTTTTGAAAATACAAATGCTGTAAGTGTTACGAACCTGTGAAGACTCACAAGTAGAATTCAATCTCCAGTAATCGCATTTTCGATCACATAATGGACACATGATAATTTCACCACCAATACCGGGATGACATATTTCTTTGCTAAAGAGGATAGATAAAGATGTGGTGTATTTAATAAAACATATTTAAGAGATAATAGTGCTTGTGTACAATCAAAATTAACCTCTGTCTTTCAATACATGGTAAGAAACTATATCTGAGCCATTATTATGGCATAGGTTATAGTTTCTGCCACTGGATATTAGATTTATGTTGAAATATATGCAAATCAGTTCATCGGGTTAAGCCAGAATCCTTATCTAAAATCATACATCTTAAAAAAAGAAAGTAAGAAATAAAACTTCATCATTAACTGATTGACGTAATTTAACTAATGTTGCTTTGTCAACTATACTTACCTGCTCATATTTTCATTCATTGTGAACAAACCATACAGAAAACAAATGAAGCCAACAACAGCTGCAAAGAACAGCATCTCAGTATAAAAACCCAGCCAGGCAAAATAGATTCCAATCTTCTCTCCGTAATATTTCCTGCAAGAAAATAATCCAAGAAAAACAAAGGCAAAGCTTAAAATAGCAATAAAGGGCAAAATGTGGATATAACTTACTGCAAAATAATCCTCAGTTTATTCACCCCTGAATATTCTAATACTGGATCCCCCTCCTCCCTCCCTCCCTCTCTATCTATCTCTATCTCTCTTTATCTCTTTCTGTCTATATAAAATATCTTGACTTATTATCAAACCAGTTCTCCTAATTATTTTATTCTGCATTTTCTTGGTCTTTTATATCAGGACATGCTTCAAAATGTTTGGAAAAAATGGCAACACAGCAACTCTTCGATATCTATTGAAGTAGCCTTTTTTAAAAGACTTCTATGTGAGTGTGAAAAAATATGAAATTGCTCTAAGGTGTTAACTTGTATTTGTTCCTCAACCTTGGCAAATTTAAGATATGTAGACTTCAACTCCCAGAATTCTCCAGCCATACTGTTCTGTATTACTCTTGAAGCAACTGCAAGGTTATTTTTTTTTCAGACTTGTGTGGAAGCTGGGAAAGAGATGGACAGAAAGGTGCTGTGCTCCTATATGATCAAAAGCATGTCTTCCAAATTATTTTCCAAACATATACTGCTTGATTTTTACATTATATTCCACATATAAAGTTATTGTTTATAAAAAGAAATACAGGCATGTAATATAGCATGTATTAGAGCCCTGGCGGCGCAGTTGTTAAAATGTAGTATTGCAGGCTGACTCTGCCACAGGCAGGAGTTCGATCCTGATTGACTCAAGGTTGACTCAGCCTTCCATCTTTCCAAGGTCGGTAAAATGAGATTTGTCCCCAGATTGTTGGGGACAAAACGCTCAGAGACTGCTATAAAGCACTCTGGAACAGTATATAAGTCTAAGTGCTATTGCTATATTTCTGAAAGGCCCAACGGCCATTAATATATCAGGGAAATCATTTACCTGATAAGATCCAAGGGCTGTTCCTTGTAAAATCTAGGAAACCGGGCCCATTCCCTATGTAAGGTATATCTTTCATTTTCACACTTTGGATCATTTGACTTCTTCCAGTACTGACACTGAATCAGCATGAAAAAAATAAAGAAGACACAAAATAAGTCAGCAAATAGCAACATAATCTCTCCAACAATACTACTGTAATATACAAAATAAATCTATGGGTGGTTCTATGTTTAACAGAGAGACATCTCCACATTCATATAGAAATAGAATGTATTTATTTATTTATAGAGCTATATGGCAGCTCAACGCAGACCATGTGATTCGGAAAGAAAGACAGACAAATGGAAATAAAAATAGATAAGGAAAGGAAAGAGCATACAGTAGAGAAAGAAAGTGATATACGTCTATGTAAATATAAAGTTGTGGAGAGAAGCAATATTCAGCTATTCATATAGCATGAGAAATGTTTATGTATTTGTTATTTAATATGAAATTTAGAGAGACTATCTTCATCTTAAATATAGAGTTAAGTGATTCTGAATAATCAATGTAGGTAATAGTTCCTTTTCAACTTTTCTGGGAGAATATCAGAATTAATAAGACTGTTCTCCAAGCTAAATTATATGTATGTGTGTATGCATGTGTATATACATATACATACATATACATACATACATACATACATACATATATATACACACACACATACATATACACACACACACACATACATACACACACAAACATACACACGCATACATGTATGCACACACACACAGAAAATACAAATCTCTCCAGTAAGCGTTCATTGCTTGCCACCAGAGGGCAATATAATACTAATCTCTAAAACCTCTAATGCTCTTGTCATCACTTCATTCTACAATTATAAGTGGATATTGTTCTTTCTCTCCTCCCGATTTCACTTTTTCTGAGGTATTTTAGCATACATATACATTCACACATCTTTAATATAAGCAATTCCATAATAATATTCGCAATTACAAAAACCATAGATACTGGCCTATTTGAAGGCAAAGACAAACGTATCCAAATACAATTTTCAGAGAAAGACAGGTTTCCTTCAGAAAATAGGCAAATGAATGAATGACTAAAATGCCTACATCATGAAGAGGGTAAGCAGAAGAGTAGGTGCCATTATTTAGAAGTCTTTTGATTCCAAACTTCTTCTTCCCTTCTTCTGTTCCATATGGGCACCTTGTTAAAATATAAAAAACCTAGAAGAGAGGGGGAAAGAACTTTACAATTTTTAAATTTAAAATTATTGCCATATTATGTAAACTATGAGAATATAAAACTTTTCTTCATACTCTGGTGAAATTTGACATGTTAATTTTGATTGGTTAATTATACTACAGTAATTATGTCATTAAACTTTGAGGCCCTTTCTTCTTACAGTTTACAGAGGAAGCAGGTTTTCCCTGGCCTAGGATAAATGTTGGCTTGCAGGAATGTTATTGCTTTTGCTGTTTCAGTCTTCCAGTTAGGACCTAAACAACTGAATAGCAGCCCCACCACCTTATGTTTTTCAATATCTTTCTGAAGAAGTAGAAAAAACAGTGTGACTCTCCTACTAGGGATATACAGGTAGTCCTTAACTTACAACTACAATTGAGCCCAACATTTATGTTGTTAAGCGAGACATTTGTCAAGTGAATTTTGCCCCATTTTACGACCTTTCTTGCCATGTTTCTTAAGTGAATTGCTGCAGTTGCTAAGTTAGTAATGTGGCTGTTAAGTGAGCCTTTCTTCCCCATTGAAAGAAGGTCAGAATGTCGCAAAAGGTTGCAATGACCCCAGTACATTGCAACCGTCATGAATATGAGTTAGTTGCGAAGCGTATGAATTTTGATCATGGGACCACGGGGGAAGCTCTAATGGTCGTGTGAAAAACAGTCTTTTTTCAGTGCCTTTGTAACTTTGAATGGTCACTAAGTGAACTGTTGTAAGTCGAGGACTACCTGTATACATTTGACCATGTGAAGTTGTGTGCCTGTTACGACTGCAAACTTTCAAAGAGCTGGTGTGTTTGATGATGCTTCCTCCTTTGAAGATGCTTGGAGAAACAATGCTCCTCCACACACTTCTGAAGGCCCATTCCAATAATGAGGAAAGACAGGAAACACCTCCATGAAATGAACCAGTAATATTGGCAAAGAGCAACAAACAACAACGATCTGGCTACATCAGCAAGTCTAGAAGCTATGGCAGTGTTTTGGCAACAGAGTAAGCCAGGCATTTGGCTGAGAAGCCTTTGCTTGACCCTGCTGATTTCTCCCATATTTGGGTCTTCTGCAATTGCTGAGTCATCCTTTGTACTGTAATTCAGAGTGAGTCATTTAAATACAAAGGAAAGGCCCTTTCTGGCTAGAATAACCAAGGAAAAGAAAGCATATGCTGTTTTATGCTCAGGGAGCTTTTTCTCAATTGATTCTGTATGGCAAAACCAACCAACCAACCAGCCTACCACAAGTCAACAACACTACAGCATTTAGGACAATTTGACAGCAGGCATGTTGTGCTAGGCAGCATGTTCCCATCTAAGCCACAAACTGGCTTGTTGTATTGCACGATCACTGAAGTGGTAAATGAAGTACTCACTATTCTGTTTCTGACAGATGGCGAAAAAAACATATTCTCATCATCAATGAGGTACAATTCCTGTCTTTCTTTGCTAAATGGTGCTGTAAAGTAGTCCGGTTCAGGGTGCATCACAATCTCAGGTAGTCTAAATGGCCAGAATATGCAGTCCAATGGGTTTTCCACCATACAGGGAATATCATTCTCCTTGATGGGCATTTTGATGTTTAGCACTTCTGCATAAGTGATCAGAATTTCCCACGGGGCGTGAATCTTCACAAAATACGTTTTGCCATTTTCAGATTCCTGCAAATGAAATGATAAAGGCTTATTTGTAAATTAAGTAATTTGCCCTCCAAAGATATGGTGATGGCTACAAAGTCTAAGAAGTTGGACATCTACCCTTTTTATCCCTATGTATAATGAGGAAGGACAAAGTCCTCTGAATATTTCCAGCATTCACAAGGCTCTATTTTTCTCCCAGCATGTTCTTGCTATTCTTCTAGGGTGATTCATCCATACTTGGATGAGGTTTGCAGCATTTTAGAAAGAGTCCAAAATGAACAATCCCTGGAACAACCAGTCTGAAATCTTGTTTTTTTTTGGGGGGGGGGGAGGGAGAGCGATCTAAAACATTTTGGGATTGAAAATAAAAATGCTCATACAATTAGTGCTGAAGTCCTCCTGTGGCTTTTAAGTGTATGCCCATAAAATACACATATAGGAAACAAGGACACCTCAATCCTAATGGGTTAAAAGTGGCTTCTGAAACAGTTGTAAAAATCATCTCTAGGTTTGCCATTCACTTCATTGTACTTTAGTAGTATCTGTTTTAGAATCCGAGGCAGAAAAAGTTAGTCACACTTAAATGACTAAGGTTTAAATTAGTTATCACTAATTTTATTAGAATTATGGAAAATGGAGGAATACAACAAATTTAATTAAATTATAACTAATTTTCAGCTATCCTGATGAGTATTGACTAAGACCCTAGGAAATATATTTTCATATGGATAAGACTTGAAATTATTTTCTTTTGATTGCATCCATAATCTGAACATAATTTCAGAGCCAGTTATTTGGGGAAAAAAATACTGATACATGGTATGTTAAATATTTATTTATTTTATTTATTTATTTAGAGAATTTATATGGCTGCCCACTCACTTTCAGTGACTATGAGCAGCTCACCAAAAATAAGATATTGAGAATTGAGAACATTAAATAAGAGCAAATTAGCTAATAGCTAATATGGAGGTGGGGGGAAGAAGAAAAAGCAATCAATGTGTTAGATTATTCTCAATTATCAGCTTTCCATCCTTCAAAACAAAAGCCAGAAAACATTTTTAAAAATGCCAGTTTTTGAAACATAGTAAGGTTCAACATTCCACTTCTTCTCTTTATGTTCAAATCTTTTTTGACCATGCAGTTGCTGGTTATGTTTTTAGCTATTCCTATTTCTTTGAGATATTAGCAATATCACCTGATGGTAAATGGGCAGAATTTCACCCAGGAAAAAAATATCTACAATCAGTTGCAACCTGCATGGAATTATCTGTTACCTGGGATAGACATAAAAGTATGATATAAAATGGAGCAATCTCCCATTAACAACAACAACAAAAAAAGGATAGAATAGTAATGCATTTGTAAAAGACACAAATCAATTGTGGAAAGTACCCTTATGTACTACAGTTGCTTCAGAGAGAAACTTGTATTATTTTCTGATTACCAGGTTTTATCTACAATGACATTAGTATAAACAAACAAATTAAACATGGTGTTCAGGAAGCAAAGATCCCACTGCCAGCTGTTTCTAGAGATTTTCAATGCCCCAATACTTTTAATCATACTGATTTTAATCAGTAACAAACCATAGTAATTGCTACCTTCTTGTCTTCGGTTTCTAGTTCCAGACCTTTCTTTACTAGATTGTTCTCAAACATTCGCCTTCGATCCTGAAAAAAAGAAAAGCAGACAGATGTTTACGTTTTATTCAACCAACACAAGTTTTTAATATACAACAACTGATAAACATAGTTATTTTGCATCATCTTTGTGAATTATGAATATAAAAACAAGTAAAATATTAAACACATTGCTGACATTTAATTTTGCTAACAATAAATTATTGCAACAGGAATGAAGAAATGGGAATTCTTATGAATGGATTTGTGTCAGAACAATATTTTTCTTTCTTCTTTGTTCCCTTAATGAGTGTCTAGGTGTGGCTGACCTTGGAGCCAGTACATTGGTGTGGGTGCTATTGGACTATAGATATTTCTTACAATGGTATATTTTGTTTTCCAACTCAAGGCTGCTGGGTCTGCATTGTTTACATTGTTTGTGTGCACGCATACATGACTGTAGATCAGTTTGGACAATGTCCTGGACATGCACGCAGGATTTTTTTGGCAAGAGTTTTGGAAGTGGCTTCCTAGGGGTGAGCCAGCTGGCTTTGTGCTGAAGGTCACAGTCTCCTGGTTTTTCAATTTGCTTTGACCTTATGCCTTTTAGTGCTGTTCATTGGACCTTGCCTTGTGTAGATCGCTTTCTCCATAATAATTTGTAAGAAAAGTGATATTCTGACATTCTGTATACATTTTCAAATCAAAGCAAACAGTTCTAAATATATTGTAATTGTCTTCATTCTCCCAAGGAAGTTTCCGCAGGCATGCTAAGTTATAACTCTTCATCCCTACCCATCCAACATAGCCAAGAAAATTGATAATGATGGAGAATTTTATTCCAGCAACTATGATGGATACCAGTTTGAGGACGGTTTCTCTAGAACAGCGGTTCTAGAACAGTGTGTCGGGACCCCATTTGGGGTCGAACAACCATTTCACGGGGGTCGCCAAACAATGCAGTCCGCCACTTTTTCCCCCTTTTCCTTAGCTGTGCTACTCCCTTTTATTCTATTGGCTTTTGAAAGCCAATAGAATAGACTCTCTTGAATAGTCTAATTCTATTGGCTTTCAAAAGGAATTGTCCAGGCTGTCTCTGCCCTGCTGAGCCCGCCAAAAGCCCCAGTCTGCAAACAGTGCTGTAAGTTGTCTGCAGTGAAGGCGAGCTGTCTGGAAGTTTCCACCCCTCCCTGATGAGCAATTACTAAAAATGTAAGTAAAAGAGGGGCAGGGGTGGGAGGCCGGCGGGCGCAGGGAGGGTTGCTGGCGTGCATGGGGCCCGGCGGGTGCTTACCTCCCTTGGGCTGGGCCAGCTGGTGGCCCAGCCGGTGGTTGGCCTGTGCCGTCTCTGCCGCTTGCCAACTACGCCTCAGCCGGGGCAGGGAAAGTCCTCGACTTATGACTGGTTGGGTAGCCCTCGACTTACGACCGGTTGGGAGTCGCAGCATTAAAAAGGTTGAGAACCACTGCTCTAGAATGTCTCTGCTTTATTTGTCTCTGTCTGTCGGCACCTTGACATTAAACCAAGTCTGAAGAGATTCATAACATTTCCCCAATTCTAAATGTACCATTTCTCTACAAATCTGTTTGGGAAGCTATTTTGTATATATCACAATGAATTTCTGGTTTAAAAGTCTGTAAGTCTACATGTTATACTCCCCCCTTTTTTTCTTTCCATATATGCTTAAACCTTTGTAAAAGAAATCTGGGGAATTAGATGCAAACATTATGCCTCCATAATATATGTTTTAGATACAATCAACCATTCACTAGCAACATAAAGCTTATTTGTGTCCAGTCTTTTTTGATTATCACCAAGTTCACTCATTTCTCTTTTTTATTTATTTATTAAATTTGTTTGCCACCCATATCACCAAAAGGCAAGAGACTTACAACATTAAAATGAAACCATAAATATATGAATAAATATATAAAGTCACATTAAAAGTACAACAAATTACAAGTTATAACTAAAGATGGGGAGGAAGGAAGGAGAATATATGGGGGGGGGGAAAGAGGTGAAACCATAGATCAGGCATGCTGGCTTAGGAATTCTGAAAGTTGGCCCACAAGTCATAAAAGGGCCAAGTTTGAAGACCCCTGCCATAGACCATCTCCAGTATGAAATTCTCCCACTAGGGCTCCAAGTCAACTGGCTAAAGCCAGGTGTTCAGGCTCTTGTGGAAGGTCAGGAGAACAGGAACCAATCTCATCTCAGGGCAAAATGTTCCAAAGGGCCGGAGCCATGGCAGAAAAGTCTCTTCTCCTAGACTTCCTCAGCTGGCATTCCTTGACTGATAGGATCTGCAGCTTGCCTCCTCTGCTGGAACGGGTGTGAGATAGCTCTTCAAATAACCTGGACCCATATGCCATACAGGGCTTTATTGATAATAACCAATACCTTGAATTGCACCCAGAAGCAAACCAGTAATCAGTGCAGGTCTGGGACAGTGGTGTAACATGGGCCCACACTGAAAGACTGCCCTTGCTGCTACACTCTGCAGCAGTTGGAAGCTTCCGAATGCTCTTCCAGGGTAGCCCCATGTAGAGTGCATTTCAGTAATCCAAGCATGAGATGACCAGAGATGACTGAGTGCAGGGACTCCTGATCCAGGAGAAGCCGCAAATGATACACAACCTGAAGTTGTGTAAAGGCTCTCCTAGCCATGAGTGCCCCTGCTCTTCAAGCAGGTGTGAGTTCACCCCTATGTTATGGACCGGTCTGTCTGGGGTAGTGCCACCCCATCTGTGAGTTATTATCATCCCCAACCATTCCCAAATGTCCAATCATTCTGGATAGATGACTACAAAGATGTACTTGATATCACAGTCTCATGAGTATTCTGTTTGTTACCCCTTGGACTGGGATTGAGGGAAGGCGACCTTCACTTGTTCTGCACTCGAGAGAACACAACACAATCCTGTTTTGCTCCTTTTGACATAGTCCTTCTTTACATTTTTTTATGTGTTTATTGCTTTGAGACAGAAATAGTGCATGTGTGGAGCAAATATACAGGCACCCGTATACTGTACCTGCAAATGGATAAAAGCAACAGAAACCAGTGAATCCAAATCTATAAGGAAGAAGTCAGTGCAACCATCTATGAATTAGATCCACATCCCTCCTGGTTGGTAAAAGCCTCCAGGATGGTGTCTAACAGGTGGGCTCAGGCAGCGATAAACTTTTCAATGTAGGAGAGGACGTTCCTGGGATCTTTTAAGGAGCTTACAGCTACTGCCCAATAAGCAGAGACAGTTCTAAAGGAAGTAGTTAAGACTTGTTTAAATAGATGTAATCACACATTGCTTACAAACCAACAGTGACAGGTGGAATATTTAGTTCTTTCTACCTCCTATGGTGCTAAGAACAAAGCAAACTTCAGTTGCACTGATATTCCATGGAGAAAGAACAAAGTACCTGCTCATGCCTAGTCCAAAGACAAGGTGTGCCAAAGTAGGCGTAGTAGTGTGATTATGGAATAACTATTTATTGGTGCTTATCTGCAAATTAAAGATATCATCTTTTATAGGTATGCCCATCCTCAAGATAATATTTAATTGTGATTTTTAAACACCATTAAAGTAAACAGGTTTTCAAGTGCAGTGGTTAAAGTTCTAGTGAAAATTTAATCAACTGCTTTATTATCAAAGAGGTCTATTTGTTGCTTACATCACAAAAAGAAATATAAAGATAACATCATTTTAATTTCAAGGTTTCTTATACACTGATATTCTTTGGTTAACCCTCAAAAATTTTCCACTCCTTATTTGAGCATCCATTAAATAAAAATAAATACTTTCCATTGACAAATTAAAATTATTCTATTTCCCTAGACAATGGGATTGTCTAGATTGCAGATACCATAGCTATTACTTCATTTAGTAGAGTAGAATTATAACTTTGTTGTCACTTTAAATATACATTAATATATTAAAATAAGATTCTATTGCATACAACTCTCAAAGGGTAATCAGCTCCAATATACACTGCATAAACATGACAATGACAATAATGATGATGATGATGATAATAATAATAATAATAATAATAATAATAATAATAATAATAATAATAATAATAATAATACACATATATGACCCAGAGAAACAACACAGTCTAGTTTGGATGTATACATAACAATCTAAAATAGTCCTGGAAATGTGAGTCTCGGATACTCTTATTTAAAACTAGAAACACGGATCACCAAGACTAAAAATGTTTTAGTCTTGGTGATCCGTGTTTTTAGTTTTAAATATACATAACAATAGATGATTTGTGAGTGAGAATTTTTTTGTTTATTAGCTTCTATTTGGGAGGGAATAAACCAGGGCTGTCAATAATGGCTTTTTTGAATTCTTGTAAACTCCTGCCTGTGAAATCAGTGATACTATCTAACCATCTTAGGGGTTTTTTTGCAAGTCCTTTTTTCAACTGATTTTGATTTTTCCAACCATTCCAAGCATCTTCTCCAAAAAGTCTTGCTTCCACATTATGCGTCCAAAATATTTTATTTACTCATCCTTCATATAAGCTGTTTTTATTTCAGTGTTGAATTATTTGCACTTGTTATCCAAAATACTATTTAGCACCAGAATCCAGTCATTTTCCTTCTTTAGCCTTTCTGTGGTCAGCTTTCACAGCCATATGTTATAGCTGAAAAGAGGATGGCATTGACAATATTTGCCTTCAATGGCAATTGAAAGTCTCTTTACTTTAATAGCTTATACAAATTTGTCAGTCTTTCTCTCAAGAAGCATATTATTTAATGGTTACTATTCCTGTGGGGTTTGGAGCCCAGAAAATACTTCTTCACCTATTTTTACCAGATTGGTATTTCCACTTGTCAGATAAGAGTTCTTTTTTAAAAATAATGATTGGCTTTGGCACTCTCAATATTCAACATTTAACAACCGTGTTACTAAATTATCAAATGCAGTGATTCACTCAACGACCGTGTCAAGAAAAGTGGTAAAATGGGGCTAAACTCTCTTAACAAACGTCTCGCTTAGCAACATAAATTTTGAGCTTAATTGTGGTCGTAAGTCGAGGA